TTCTATTCTATTCCATTCCATTCCATTCCATTCTATTCCTTTCGTTCTTTATTCTATTCTATTCTGTTTTATTCTGAATTCTATTCTATATTCTATTTTATTCTATATTCCAATTTATTCTGAATTCTATGCTATGCTATTCTATTCTACATTTTTTAAAGTGTTATTCATAATAATTATTCCATGTTGTCTGGAGAATTCCCTGCTGGGTGGGGAATTTTCCTCAAGGTTGACTCAGCCTTCCATCCTTCCGAGGTGGGTGAAATGAGGACCCGGATTGTTGTTGGGGGCAATATGCTGACTCTGTAAACCGCTTAGAGAGGGCTGAAAGCCCTATGAAGCGGTATATAAGTCTAACTGCTATTGCTATTGCTAATTGAATGGAGCTGAGTGTTTACTGGCCGGATGCTTGCCTTATCACCAGTGCAGAGTTTTGTTCGGCAGATAAATTCTCAATGTGCCCAGAGAGAGAAATATCTGCCTCTACCTAGGACTGAACTCACAACCCCCTGATTATGAGGCAAGAGCTCCACCTCTAGGCCACCACACCACTCAAATGTAAGGTTGCCCATCTTGGTCAAATAATAAAGGGCCGGCCACTGAATGAGGACACGGGTGTCCAGAGGCAAGGAGACCTCTGATGTGAGGCCACATTTCTGCGTTCTGCAAGGGGGTGACCCTGCCAGGCCAGCCTAGTGGTCAGCCCCAGCCAGCAGCATCCAATCCCTCAGTACCTGCTTCTCTATCAATCGGATGGTGTCCTCCGAGGTGGTGCTTTTGGCTTTCTTCGCCTGGTTCATGGCTCCGGTGCGCACTTTCCGCAGAGACTCCTTGGCCTTGTGGGTGAGCTGCTTGGCGACCGTGGCCAGGTTCTCCCTGTGTTCGCGGGTGACTCTGACAGGGAGAGAAGCAAAGGAGAAAAGGAGCCTCTTGGGTGGAGCGTAAACCTTCCACGGTATGGCGGAGCCAAGCGTGAAAATGCCCAGACGTGCAAATTTGAAAATAATAACAGAGAAAATGTTCGAAGGATAAAGGAGGATGAACCTCACAGAAGGAAGAGGCAGCTATAACTTACTTACTTTTAACTTAATGCTCCCGTGTCTGGTTTGCCAACTGCACAGGGGCAGATAGGAGAGCGATCCAGAGGGCCAACGTCATTGCCCAGAGGATCATGGGTTGCCCCCTCCCATCTTTGGATAAGCTTTATAGTTCCCGCTGCCTTAAGAAAGTTCAAAACATCCTTAAAGATCCATCTCATCCTGGGCACTTTTTTTTTTTGAACTATTACCATCTGGCAGCTGGTACAGGACAATAAAAACAGGGCGAAATAGGCTGAAAAACAGCTTCTATCCCAGGGCAGCAACTATATTGAATTCTACACTATAATGCAATATTGGGTTATCAATTTCAATTATATAGCATGTGAAGGATGTGCCTGTGTGCTTTTATTTTTATAGTTATAATGTACACTGAAGATGGCATTTAATTTCGTTGTACCATATGCAATGACAATTAAACTAAACTAAACTCGTGGCACGACAAAACCGCGGTCCACTAAANCCTGTTGTCTTTTCGGTGAATTGCATCAGAAGGGTAGGGTGAAAAGAAAAGAAAAGAGAAGAGAAATAACATTACGGCCTTCCGTAAAGCTGTTAAGACCTGGCTGTTCCGGCAGGCCTGGGGCTGTTGAAGTATCCAGCCCCACTTTAGGTTATGAATGTTGCTGTAATTTTAAATTGTGGGTTAAACCTAACCCTAACCCTTAACCTAACCCTTACCTTAACTTGAATCGGCTTGCTTTCAAAGCGCTTTTTAAAGAGCCCTTTTTTCTCGGTGGTCGCTGTTGTCGCGCTGCTGATGACGTCAGCAACACGGTTTAATCGGGCGCGCTTTAGTGGACCGCGGTTTTGTCGTGCCACGCTTTTATATTCCCCCTCCCTTTTTTATTGTAAGCCGCCCGGGGAAAAAACAAAAGGAGATTTCTTCCAACAACCGGTTCTCCGAACTGCTTAGAAAGTTAACAACCGGTTCTCCCGAATAGGTGCAAACCGGCTGAATCCCACCACTGAATTGTGACCAGCATTGATGGCTGTGCTATAGACTGTGCCAGCCACTAACAGAGAAGACACCAAAAACTGTAAAAACGCAACAATGGCCTCCATCACGAGTCAACAAGTGACCTAATCAGGCAAAGGTTTCAAACATTGAAGGAATGCTACTGGACAATCACTTAAACATGAGCTAGCCGTGTGCGGTGGCAGCCAAAAAAGCTAATGCGATTGCGTTTGTATAGACAGAGGTGTAGAATCAAATTCACGTATTAGCATCGCTTTATAAAGCCTTAGTAAGGCCACCCTTGGAATATCACACCCAGTTTTGGTCCCCACGTTACAGAAAAGATGTTGAGACTTTGGACAAAGTGCGGAGAAGAGCAACTAAGAATGATGAAAGGCCTGGAGACTAGAAGATATGAAGAACAGTTGCAAGATTTGGGTTTCTAGAGAAAATAAGGACTAGGAGTGACACGATAGCAGTGTTCCAATATCTCAGGGGCTGCCACAAAGAAGGGGGGGGGGTCAACTTATTTTCCAAAGCACCAAAAGGCGGGACAAGAAGCAACGGATGGAAACTAACCAAGAAGAGAAGCAACTTGGAATTAAGAAGAAACTTCCTAACATCCTGACGGGCCAACCAGAAGTTTGGAAACAATCCGTTTGCCTTCCCCAGGCTTCAAGAAATCCCCCCGGAACCTGGGGAGGGGGTTGTGCAGGAATGGGAGGGGTGTGTTGCGCGCACATGCACAGATAGGCAGGGAGGTTGAGCGTGCGCACAATTTTGGCACACTGTAAGAAAAAGTTGGCCATCCCTGGGATAGGGTCTCCTGCTTGATCAGGGGGTTGGTTTAGAACAGTGGTTCCCAAACTTGGCAACTTTAAGACTTGTGGACTTCAACTCCCAGAATTCTCCAGCCAGCAGAGCTGGCTGGAGAATTCTAGAAGTTGAAGTCCACAAGTCTTAAAGTTGCCAAGTTTGGGAACCACTGTTCTAAACCAACCCCCTGATCAAGCAGGAGACCCTATCCCAGGGATGGCCAACTTTTTCTTACAGTGTGCCAAAATTGTGCGCA